CTGTTTTCTGGGTTTTACAGCCTTTATGCACATGTTCTCCTTCTCTGGGCACATACTGGCACTACTTTTGCGATCTTTTGCAGATATCCCTGGGGTCAGGTTTTCGAGCGGAGCACATGCCTTGGCAGTAAACTTCCACCTCCAGCATGGTCACCACAGGCAGTATAGGTTACAATGTGTTACAATCAGTGGGAATTTCAGGATCCTAAAATGGAGGTACGTTAGTACCATATTTCTGGCCATATTTTGTGGGGATATCCCCTTACACAGGCCTGAAACATAGGCCTTACATATGGTAGGTACCTCCAATTTAGGTTCCTGAAATGGTCATTGATACAAGGACGGTACTAGGATCTAATTTTTCAGCGGTCCAAGTGGAAACGGAATAGTGTTCACACCCCAAGAGTTTTTTTTTCCTCTCCTTCATTAAAAGCACAATACAAACCACTTAGTGGTTGCCCACAAGGTCCCAATATCCAGAAGGGCAAAAAAATCTGAGGTCTGGATGGACAAAAAACCGCAAATTTTCAATCCAACATTTCTAGGCAAACTAAGTTTTTGCAGTCCACAAGGTTCACAAGGTTCAAATATCCAAAGCAATGTTTCTTACATCCTAGTGGAAAATGAATAGTTTAATACGCCGCTGCATTTTCTATACTTTGATGTCGCAACCAGGTGTGTGTGTTTACCGTTTACCTGTTCTTTTTTTTCTTCGTGGTCTACCCATGTCTACCCAGGAAAACTGCTATTTGCAGAGCATTCCTTCGTTGAAGCCTCAGATACGCAAAGGCTTTGTCACAATTGTCAAGGCTTTGTTATCTAAAAGCTACCCTCTGGTTATTTAACATAGCCATGGGAAATGGCCCATTTATAGATGGTTTACCTATTAAAAATTGTGATTTTCCATCCTTTTCCCTTGTTTAGTACCTGAAACGTAGCAATTCGAGGCGGCAAATGTGTGGAGAGCGGCGACTGCAACTTCGCTCATGGTGAGGATGAGCTCCGGGTCAGCCCCAACGTTTACAAGACGCAGCGCCTGGGCAGCAGTAAGTCATATAACATATACAATATAACATAATATAACATAGTGTTTACAAACACAATTAATGTAGTATCCTGATTAGTGTGAGGGGGATCCCCCCAAAACAATTCTTTGAGTCTCTTTAGTGTGGAAATTTTCAAGTGCACGGGTTCTGAATACTTTGGAAATGAAAAAAAATATAGATTTCAATTGATTTCAATTTACTTTCAATTGATTTTCAATTGATTTCAATTTACTTTCAATTTATTTTCAATTGATTTCAATTGATTTTCAATTGATTTCAATTGATTTCAATTTACTTTCAATTTACTGTATATATTTTCAATTGATTTCAATTTACTTTCAATTGATTTTCAATTGATTTCAATTTATGTTCAATTGATTTCAACTGATTTTCAATTTACTTTCAACTTACTTTCAATTGATTTTCAATTGATTTCAATTTACGTTCAATTTATTTTCAATTGATTTCAATTGATTTTCAATTGATTTCAATTTATGTTCAATTGATTTCAACTGATTTTCAATTTACTTCCAACTTACTTTCAATTGATTTTCAATTGATTTCAATTTACGTTCAATTTATTTTCAATTGATTTCAATTGATTTTCAATTGATTTCAATTGCAAGCCTTTTAGTTTCAAGAGATGACGATAACTCGTGTTGTCGACAGTGATATCCATGGCAATCGCTCCACGATGCAGCCTGTCAGCCTGATAAGAGCTGCTGAGGCGCCGGCTTCGTATTACACTGAGGCTATTTTGCATTGGGCATCATTGAAAGGGAGTGGAACTGAACCACCAATAGTTGGCCGTGTACTTGCGGTTATCAATCCAGCAAGTGCGTGTGCTGCCTTGATGATGGGTTATTCGATTATTTCTTCGGTGCAAGACATCACGTTCACACCGAACATCCCTGCATCTCAGGCGAGGATCCACACTGCAATGAGGCGACTTAGCAGTAAGCAAGAGTTGCCAATGACCAAGTGTGACCCGCTATTAGCTTCGATCGTTGATGCAGTGAGACCGAGGCTGACTATGTCTGACCATTACTCGGCAGAAGTCGTCAGCTACATCTCAGATGCTGCAGAAACAGATGATCAAGCATCAACTTTCGTCAAAGACCTGTTGAATTTCAACGGAGAAGGACGGCCAGGGCAACCTCGAACTTTGTCCGTGGTAGTTGCCGCGTACAATACTTTGGTGCACTTCATTGAGATCTTCATGGGCGGTTTACTCCGCGCTTTAACCCCTTCAGGTTTGGGCGCAGACTATAACTTGATTTACATCAATGCCTGTGGAAATACATTTAGAATGTTCACCAGCTACCCTGTTGCACAGCGAGACCCAACAGCCTTAGCACGTGCAGTATACTTCTCAACATTTTGGAATCGCGTTACTGCGAATTGGCTTACGGCATCACCGTCGTGATGACCATAGATGTTGGTGAATCAACTGTTTTGATTTCAATTTACTTTCAATTTACTTTCAATTGATGTCAACTTACTTTCAATCGATTTTCATTTGATTTCAATTTAAGTTTGAACGTATTTTCAATTGATTTCAACTTACTTTCAATTGACATCCCATAGTAATCCCACAGAAATATCATAGACATTATCTAATTTCAAGAGGAATGAAAAGCATGTTTTCTGATGATTCAGCACGGGTAGGGTACATATGACATTTTCTATGGGTACGGTACGGTGGGTACAGTGGGTACGGTACGGTGGGTACAGTGGGTACGGTACAGTGGGTACGGTACGGTGGGTACGGTGGGTACGGTGGGTACGGTGGGTACGGTGGGTACGGTACAGTGGGACGGTACGGTTGTTAACGTGTGGGTACGGTGGTACGGTGGGGTACGGTGGGTACGGTACAGTAGGTACAGTGGGTACGGTACGGTGGGTACGGTGGGTACGGTACGATGGGTACGGTGGGTACGGTACGGTGCGTGCAGGTACGCACCCACCGTACCCACACCGTACCGTACCCACGGTACCCACCGTACCCACCGTACCGTACCACCGTACCAATCTTCATACCGTAACCCACCGTCCTCCCTTAACCGTACCACCGTACCCACCGTACCGTACCACCGTACCCACCGTACCGTACCCACTGTACCCACCGTACCGTACCCACCGTACCGTACCCACCGTACCGTACCCACCGTACCCACCGTACCGTACCCACTGTACCCACCCCACCGTACCACCGTAGCCAACGTACCGCACCCTTCACCGTACCATCATTTTTGAGGACCGTACCCCCCCACAGAGCATTACTCTTGAAATTTGATAACATAGACATATCATGGAACTGCCATAGGAATCTCACAGAAATCCCATAAGAATCTCATAGAATTCCTTCAGGAATCCCATAGTAATCCCATAGAGATATCATAGAAAGATCATGGAACTCCCATAGGAATGCCATAGGAATCCCATAGGAATCCCAAAGAACCCCCATAGAAACATAATAGAAATACCATAGAAATCTCATAGGAACCCAATGGGAATCCCATAAGAATACCATTGAATTCCCATAGCATCCCTTCAGAAATCCCATAGAAATCTTCTAGAAATATCATAGAAACACCATGGAACCCCCATAGGAATCCAATGGAAATCCCATAGGCATCCTTTTGAAACCCTATAGGAGCACCATAGAAATACCATTGACACCCCATAGAAAATCTCATAGTAGTCCCAGAGAAAAAACATAAAAATACCATGGAAACCTTAAGGAACCCAATAGAAATCCCATAGAAGTATCATAGAACCACCATAGAAATTCCAAAGAAACTTCATAGACACCCCATAGAATTCCCAAAGAAACCCTCTAGACATATCATAGACACCTTTTTAAATCCCATAGTAATCTCATAGAACTATCATAGAAATCCAAAAGAAAATCATGTACATCCTAAAGAAATCCCATAGAAACACCACAGAAACACCATAGGAATCCAAAGGAAACCCCATAGACATCCTTTTGAAACCCCATAGGAATCCCACAGAACTACCATAGACACACCTTTAGAAACATCATAGAATATCATAGAGACACCATAGAAATTACATAGAATTTCCATAGAAATCTGGTCAAGATCCCATAGAAACGCCATAGAAACCAAGGAGAGGATGCCAGGAGAATTGAACTAAGTAAGAGACAAACAACTATAGCAAAGGAAAGGAAAAGGAAAGGAGAGAATGATTTTGGAAAATGTTTACTTCCAAAAAAAACTGGACACACTAGAGGACCACCACAACAAACACACTATTGAGGATCAGGGCTGCTCATGGACTACTCCCTTGAAAAATTGTTTGGGTGTTTTTTTTTTTAAATTGGGTTTTAATAAGGCATCTTATATTTTGGGAAATTAATCATTTTGAGAATTCCAAAAGAATGGAGCTAAGAAAAAAAGAGAACAGTATTAGCAAAGGAAAGGGCAAGGAAAGGAGAGAATGATTTTGGAAAAAAATGCTTCCAAAAAACACTGGATACAATAGAGGACCACCACAACAAACACACTATTGAAGCTCAGGGTTGCTCATGGACTACCCCCTTGAAAAATTGTTTGGATGCTGTTTTTTAATTGGGTTTTAATAAGGCATCCTATATTTTGGGAAATTAATCATTTTGAGAATTCCAAAAGAATGGAGCTAAGAAAGTAAAAAAGAGAACAGTATTAGCAAACGAAAAAAAAGGAGAGGAGAATGATTTTGGACAAAAAATACTTTCAAAAAAAAACTGGACACAATAGAGGACCACCACAACAAACATATTATTTAGGATCATATTGCTCATGAAAAAAATGAAACAATTGAAACAAACAAATCTTCAGACAACAGTTGGACACAATAGAGGACCACCACAACAAACATATTAATTATTTAGGATCAATATTGCCCATGAAAAACTGAGAAATATTAAACAAAAAACTGAAACAATGAATTAAAAAAAATAAAGAAAAACAACAGAAAAACATGAAATAAATTAAACAACAAATTAAAAACATAAAACAATCTAAAAATAAAAGAAAAATAAAAAACAAACTGAAAAAATACACATTTTTTTCCACAAAACCGACCCACCCAATCAATTTCCCTGGGTCTGAATAATTTCAAAAAAAAATCCACAAAAACGACCCACCACACTAATCAGGATACCACATTAGAGAGATTGTGATAACATGTTATAAACATTATACGGTTATAAACACTATGCGTTCTTGTTTTCAGAAATTCAGAAACATGTTTTTGGGGCACTGATGCGGGTTGTACAGGTTTGGCGTGTTCGGGTGGTGCAGTTGTGCCTATTCAGTGGCATTTGGGTCGTCCTGGCTGGTTGCGGCATTCGTTGCACACGAGGCTATGCAACTTCTTTGCCCGCGGCCATTGCAAAAAAGGCCTGGAGCTGCTGTGCCATGCTGTGCCATTCTGTGCCATGCTGTGCCATGCTGTGCCATGCTAAAAAAAACTAGCAGCTAGCAGCTAGCACACACACACACATTGAACGCATCATGAAGACATGATAAAATTACACGCCATGAGGAGAGGTCAAGAGGTCAGGAGGTCAAGATCAAGTCTGGTGCCACTGGTGGCATGCGGCTGCACTTTTCCGTGGAACTCATTGTAATCGAAAGTTTCTGAAAGGAGAAAGAGCGTTGCAGTCAGCTGATTGACGGGTCAAACAATTGGGAATATATAGAGGGGATGATGATGATGCTGCAGTCATTGGCTTGGATTTCTCTTTCAAATTAAAAATGGCGAGACACTCAGACTCAGATAGGTGAATCTGAGGTGCACGCTCAGCGGTCGTAGAAATTGTGAAACCATTGGCAAAGCGTCACTTGACAATTTTGTTTTGTTTCTTTCGTTCCTTTTTCATTCTTTTCCATTTGCAGATTCAGGTGACCGTTGCCGCCATGCCCACGGATGGAAAGAGCTACGAAATCAGGACCCGCCATGCATCGGAGTGGGGGCAGGGCCTTAGGGCACTGGGATGCAGAAGAACAATGCTGAAAGGAGTCTGAGAAATCTCCCACATCATCTTTTTTTCAGGCTGGGGGCAATTTGTGTATATGCGTGATGCATGTCCGATGTCAGCTTATACAAATGAAAGATATGATCAAATAGTTTGTCACTGATGTCCCACTGTTATCCACTGATCGGTGTTAAAAGACCCTTGGTTTTTTCTGCGATTCGAGGCACCTCCAGGTCTGCCTCCGAGTGACCCGAGTCCGAGCGTCGCGAGCTGGGGGGCCCAGGGGGGCCCAGGGGGTGAGCCAAGGGGGCCTTGTGTTACGATGTCGTTATGTCGTTATCCACCGTTTTTTTTTCCACCCCATTCTTTACTGCAAAACGTAAACATTTTACTTTTTGTTTTCATTTTTTTCCATCTGAGCCGTTTTATTCAACATTTCGTTGAGCTGTCATTTCGTTATTCATTTCGTTGGGCCGTTGAGGCCTGGACGCGGTGCTGGATGCGGACGCCCAGACGGGGACGGTACCGCTACCACTGTTGCCGGTGACGCCGAAGAAGGCGGGACATTTGACAGAAACGACAGGACGTCTAAACGTAGAGTGATGACGGACACACACACACACGGACACGAAACCGTGTTTAATGACATGACACGTGTTAACGTAAATCAAAATCCGTCACGTAAAACGGAACATTGAAGACACCTAACATGTGTAACACGTTGTAACATGTCGTAACATGTGCTACGAAACCTGTGTAGCACACAATGAAAACATAAGAAGATGACAAAGTGTTGCATGTGAATCTTGACTCTTTTCAATTAAATGAACAATCTCGCATACAATTATCTGGCATTTATTTGGCATATTTCTCGCATATCAGTCAGGTTCCATGAGATTTACAGATTTAACAGATTATATAACATGTCATGTTGTTTCGCATTTGTTTCTTTCACATTCCAGTCATTGCAAATCATTGCGGTCATCACGATCATTGTGCATATGTGATATGTGTGTTCGACCACAAAAACAGCCTCCAGCACAAACAACTGCAAAGCTGCAACTAGGCGAAAACCACATGGATGTGCAAACATTGATTTGTTATTTTTTGCCCGTTCTTCATTTAGCCGTTCTTGAATATTAAACGTCGCACATGTCAGACAAGGTATTGCAACATGTGCAATAACTCTGTGTGAGTCACATTCTGTGAGTTGCAAATATCAGACAACGCGTCATACCTAAACATCACACACACACAATATGAACGATGTGTAGGATTGTGCAGGCATGTTGATGTGTCCCCCTGCAGTTCAAATCGTATTGTTGTGATTTGTTGTGTTGATCTTAAGCGATTTGAGCCTCGATTGGTTCATGGCGGAGACAGACTGCGACCCTGAGACCTGCTTTGCCGTCAGTTATAGTCGTGTCTCCCCTGACGGCAATGGCGACGGTGAGGTTGTAAGGGCCAGATCAACGCAATCAACTCCTTTGCCTTTGTCACCACCAAGTTCGCCAATGAAGGCACGCTAAATTGCAAAATTGCTGCAGACCAAGATGGCAAAAAAAACACGCAAAAAGCATCAAAAAGCCATGGTAATGGTTATAGTTTTTTCCCAAAAGCATCTCCGATGCTTGCATTCTCGTTTAGTTTGCTTTGCCGCGAGGGGACGATACGGAAGCGACGACAGGGTGAACGGACGGGAAACCGTGGGAAATAGCTTGGGGAGAGCTCCGTTGGGAGGGAGCAAGACGGAAGCGTGGACATCGTGAACCGTCAGAGAGCTCCGTTGCCAGGGAGCAAGACGGAAGCGTGGACATCATCGTGGACGGACGGGAAACCGTCGAAAATAGCTCGGGGAGAGCTCCGTTGGGAGGGAGCAAGACGGAAGCGTGGACATCGTGAACCGTCAGAGAGCTCCGTTGCCAGGGAGCAAGACGGAAGCGTGGACATCATCGTGGACGGACGGGAAACCGTCGAAAATAGCTCGGGGAGAGCTCCGTTGGGAGGGAGCAAGACGGAAGCGTGGACATCGTGAACCGTCAGAGAGCTCCGTTGCCAGGGAGCAAGACGGAAGCGTGGACATCATCGTGGACGGACGGGAAACCGTCGAAAATAGCTCGGGGAGAGCTCCGTTGGGAGGGAGCAAGACGGAAGCGTGGACATCGTGAACCGTCAGAGAGCTCCGTTGCCAGGGAGCAAGACGGAAGCGTGGACATCATCGTGGACGGACGGGAAACCGTCGAAAATAGCTCGGGGAGAGCCCCGTTGGGAGGGAGCAAGACGGAAGCGTGGACACCGTGTACGGATGGAAGCCGGGGAAATAGAGGGAGAGTTCCATTGGGAAAGAGCGAGACGAGCGTGGACACCGGACGGATAGCGTGGGAAATAGCTTGGGGTGAGCTCCGTTGGGAGGAAGTGACATACTGAGAAGCGGAGCTGTTGGCACGGGTTTTCAGGACAAATTCCATCAATGCGATTGTCTCGAAAAACTGTGCGCCCAAGACTTTTCAAGTGGTTTGCAAACGTTGGGCGATGGGACATGCAGAGCTTCGTTGGCAGGGAGCGACACTAAAAATGCACAGCTGTTGGCACGGATTTTTCAGAACAAATCTCATCAATACGATTGTTCCGAAAAATTGTGCGCCCTACTGTGTGTCAACACGTTTGTGCGTACAAGTTTCTTTGTGTAAAAGTTCCTCTGTGTAAAGTTGTTTTTATGAACAAACTTCTGTGTGTAAAAGCTTCTGTGTCTAAAAGTTTCTGTGTAAATTTCTGTGTGTAAAGGTTTGTAAATGCTTCTGTGGGTAAAAACTTCTCTGTGTAAAGGTTCTTTTGTAAAAGCTTCTGTGTGTAAAAACTTCTGTTAAAACGTCCTCTGTGTAAAGTTTCTTTTTGTGAAAGTTTCTTTGCGTACCAGCTTTGTGTGTAAAAGCTCCTCTGTGTTAAGGTTTCTTTTGTGTAAAATGTAAGAGCTTCTGTGTGTAAAAGCTTCTCTGTGTAAAAGACTTCTGTGTGTCAAAGCCTCTGAGTGTACAAGCTTCTCTGTGTAAAAGTTCCTCTGTGTAAAAGCCTCTGTGTAAAAGGCTTCTCTGTGTAAAAGCCTCTGTGTGTAAAAGCTTCCCTGTGTAAACGATTCCGTGTGTAAAGGCTCCTCTGTGTAAACCCGTCTGTGCGTAAAAGCTCCTCTGTGTAAAGGCTTTTTTTTTGTGTAAAAGCTTCCGAATATCTCTTGCAAGTACCTCTTGCAAGTACGAGTACCTCATCAATAAAGCGCCGCTAACTTGTGTGTGTAAACACTTCCGTGTGTAAAAGCTTCTGTGTGTAAAAGTTTCTGTGTGTAAAAGCTTCTGTGTATAAAAAAAACTTCGTGTAAAAGCTTCTGTGTATAAAAACTTCCCTGTGTGTACAAGCTTTACTGCGTAAAAGCAGCTGTATGTAAAAGTTCTGTGCGCCGTAAAGCTGCCTGTTTGTAAAACCTTCTGTGTGTGAACGCGTCTGTGCGTACAAGATTCTGCGTGCAAAAGTTCCTCTGTGTAAAGACTTCTCCGTGTAAATGCGTCTGTGCGTAAAAGCTCCTTTGTGCAAGACTTCTCTGTGTAAAAGCTGCTCTGTGCAAAAGGTTCTGTGCGTAAAAGGCTTCTATGTGCAAAAGTCCCTCTGTGTAAAGGCTTCTCTGTGTAAACGCGTCTGTGCGTAAAAGCTCCTCTGTGTAAGACTTCTCGGTGTAAAAACCTTCTGTGTGTAAACGTGTCTGTGTGTAAAAGCTTCTTTGTTTAGTGCAAATCATGTAAATCTCCTTTGTGTAAGGACCTCTCTGTGTAAAAACTCCTCTGTGTCAAGACTTCTCTGTGTAAAAGACTTCTCTCTGTAAAAGCCTCTCTCTGTAAAATCCTCTGTGTGTACAGGCTTTTCTGTGTAAAGACTTCTCTGTGTAAAAGCTACTCTGCGTAAAAGCTTCTGTGCGTAAAGGCTTCTGTGTGTAAACACATCCGTGTGTAAACACTCCTGTGTAAACGCGTCTGTGTGTAAAAGCTTCTGTGCGTAAAAAGTTTATGTGTAAACGTTTTTTTATGTAAAAACTTCTGTGTGTAAGTGTAAGAGCTTCTCTGTGTAAAGGCTTTCCCGTGTAAAAGCGTCTGTGCGTAAAAGCTTCTGTGTAAAGCTCCTTTGTGTGCAAACGTTTCTGTGTAAACACTGCTCTGTTTAAAAGTTTCTTAATCGATAAACTATAAACTATTATTTTTTTGCTAAAAACTTCTCTGTGCAAAAACTCCTCTGTGAAAAGACTTCTCTGTGTCAAAGCCGCTGCGTGTACAAACTTTTCCGTGTAAAAACTACTCTGTGTAAAAGCTGCTCTGTGTAAAAGGTTTCTCTGTGTAAAAACCCCTGTGTGTGCAAGCTTCTCTGTGTCAAGGCTACTGCGGCTACTCTGTATAAAGACTTCTCTGTGTAAAAACTTTTGTGTGTAGAACCTTTCCTGTGTAAAAGTTTCTGTGTAAAAAACTCTGTGTGTAAAAGACCCTGTGTGTAAAGTCCTCCCTGTGTACAAACTTCTCTGTGTAAAAGATCCTCCGTGTAAAGCTCCTCTGTGTAAAGCTCCTCTGTGTAAAAGCAGAGCACAGCTGCCCCACTGCAAGGTTTTTAAAAAAAAACATGCTGTGTGTGTGACTGTGTGGCGTCTTGCTTTTGGGTTCTCTGGCCCACCTTGTTTTTTTTCCTCAAATAAATGGTATACAAATGGTTTTTCAATGTTTTTCTCATTGGTTTTCTAGGTGCGCTGAAGACAGATGGCTGCACCATTGACAGCACAGACACTCTAGACACATGAGGAACATTTGCAGACAATTTCTGCCCATAGTGATTGGCCCGTTATCTCCTCCACTGCGCGTTTGTTGACTTTGTTGTCTGGTCTAGTGTTCTGTGGATCTGTTTGAAGGTTTGATATGGTTTGATGGGTTTTGGATTGGTTTAGTTTAAACTTAAGTGCAAGTTTCTCCACATGTTCAATCAAAGATGCAATTTTTCGATAGGTTCCAATTTTGCTAGGAGATGTATACTTGAGATGTATTCGAAAAAGGTAAACCCCGCGCGCCAGCCCATGCCAGCCCCCACTGTCTAGGTGAGCATGTCAGGAGACGTGGCTGGCTCGCTGTGTGCCTTTGGAGAAACATGAGAAACAGAAGCGCCCTGAATTTTTTTTGAAACAAAAAACAATGCCGCAATGCAATTCCGAACAATTTTTATCATGTTTTGTTGCATGATCCTCCCGCATGATTCCATTGTTTCCTGGCGTTGCGCTGCTGCATTTTCTCATCATTTTCCTGGCGCTGCTTTGTGAGACGCAATGATATCAAGGGCATTTCGTCGGATGCTAGTGCCGTGTTTGCTCATGTTTTTAGCATTTTTACACCCACTCTAAAGACTTTACCCGGACTCTATCCAGACAGACCCTATAAAGACGATACAATATGATTTGGAGTACTTGGTACAACTACAAATGTTGCCGAATTATCAAAGGTGAAACTGATTTGCTTCAAAAGGTTTTCAGCAGGAATTGTTTTTTACAAGAGTGGGAGAATGTGCGTGATGTAATTTTAGGATATTTTAGGGTAAAGACGGTAGAGTTTCGTTGGCAGCGACTGGCTAGCCCTTCAATGAGCCATTCGTAGCGCATTGCGCGTTCATAAGTATGTTGTGTTGAAGTCTTTTATGTACATTCCTACGGGCCTGCCATACATATCCAGACATCACTTTCCCTATCACTACACCTTGTGCAAGGTTCTCAACCATATGCATTGCATCTACCCATATTTCTTCGCAGCATTCCTTGCGCTGCGTTAGACAGTATACAAAATATACTGTATATATATATAAATCTATATAACATGGGTAATTCTACATTGGTAGCGTGTAAGCTTGTCACATAACATTTCCAGTGTGGAAGAGCATTGAACAGCAAAAAGTGGCCATCAAAGTCAAGAAGAACTTTGTTGACAGCAAATGCAGGGACGTCCCTATCCCCCTCAAAAAAATGGACATAGTGACCATGAATTGGTAAGTGTTTCAGCGCATATTCATCATGAGTTTTACGTCGAAGAGTTTTCATCACACCTTTCCCTCAACGAGCTACAGGCTTCGGCAACGCACTGGGTAAAACCACCAAAACATGTTGGAGCAAGTTCATCAAGCAAGTTCCTTGTTACTCGCCCTACCATGCTTTACCATGTGTTACCATGTGTTCCCACGAATCATGACATAGTGACGTGTGACACAGTGTGTCAAACTGCAGCCGTCCGGCGTTTTGCGTTCTCGAGGTCCAGGTCTTTCCAAAGGGCGAAAGACGTCCGAGTCGTCTCGGCTCGATCTACACCCGACATATTCGACATTCCAAGCTACTCTGGCAGCCTCACAACAGGCCCACAACAACTCCTGGCCTCGTTCCATCTTGATCTGCCATATTTTGCCTCAGTGACGCATGATGTTGTTTTTTGTTTTTCATATTAATGATCCCTGATATTCATGAGAAATCTGTGATGTATACTTATACTCTTGATTGTACAATATCAATACATGGGATGCGTGTACGTGTAAATATATTTATTTATATGTGTATGTGTGTGTCCATGCGTGCGCAATTTATATGGACCTGAACTGATTTGAATTATCATGATAGTCTATCCTGGTACCATGATATATCACATTTTGCAATCACAATGGATAGAACATAGCATTATAGCATGGCAGTGAGGGACGCTGAATGCCACTTTCTCAAAGGGGGGAACTCTTCAGTCAATGATGCAGTGTTGTTTTGGCAATGCCTATAACACCTATGACAAACATTGTCAAACTATGTTGTCATCTCTTTAAGCTGTCTTTTCTGCGAAACTATCGGGCAAACCGCGGTGAATGTGTACTTTCGGCTCCGATTGACAGTAAGCTTCAAGTCCTTTCCCTGTCCTCTTCAGGTCCTGGTCAAGTTAGGTCAAGTCAAGTTGTCTCACAGTTTCTTTATTGAATTTCCATGTTGATTCTTCTGGTACACTTGTAGTTTTCCCTTGGCATGCACGATCTAGACGCTTGCCTTGTTTTAATTGTTGTACTCCAAGATTCAGACACTGTGCCTGTCACATGTTGTTATCACAACTCAACAACACTTCAGTGGATTACAATGCATGCAGCTTCGGCCACTTGTTATATATATATATAATATCGTTTGATCGTTTTTTTGTCGCTCGTTTTCGCAGGCGCTGGTTAAAGAGTTGATGCGAAGGAGACACAGATGACATTTATTTTACAGCCCGATGTGTCTGTTTTGAAATCGTGACTGAGAAAAAACATGTTATATAAGATTGCCAATTTTGAATCGTTTTGATTCATTTTGACTCTGCATCAGCCCTTGAGTTGGCAGGAGAGATTTCGGCACAGGACTGAGCACGAAACACCAACACCGCAGTGGAACGCCTTGGAACACTGGAATTACACGGGAGGTTCAGACAGTGGGTGCAGCCAAACCTCAGAGTTATTCTTAGAAACATATTTCCCAACAGCAAGTTCCTTGGGATCGGGATCTGTTGATGTCAAGTTGATGTCACCCGAAATTGAACGCTTCTATGGGAATTGATGCGAAGGGTCAGAGATGGTCAGAGTAGAAACATAAAGCAGCTTGAAGCAGCTTGCAACAGCCAAGAGAAGCACCTTGTCCGACCATGGGACCATCTAGTGGCGGACCATGCCGGGGATTTCGTTCTTGGATCGAACCAGCCATGTCTCAGCGTCTCAGGCGTGTTTGGCACGTGCACGTCGACAAAGACGTGGATCTTGTAACGAGCTGAAAGTGCTGTGCTATCAACATCTGTCCAGATGAGAATTGTTTTGACAAACTTGTAGCAGTCTTTGGGCTAAAAAAATCACAAAGCAAGCTAAGTCACAAAATCACCGTGATGACGGAATGATTTTGTCGAAATTCTCATTAATTTTCATAAATATCATGGAGGAAAACCATCCAGGTGATCATTATGGTTGGTCCGCAGCGTGTGGCGTCCTTCTCGTTTCCTCTCAGGTAGGGGAGGACAAGATGGTGATGCTCCGAGTTCAGCTTTCTGACACAAGCAGTGGAATTATTTCTTACACACAGCAACATTTTCTGATGTGTCCTGATCCCCGACAAACAGCGTGAGGCAAACAATGAATGGGGTGCGAGTTCTTGCGGTGAGTTCGCTAGTTTTTTGACGTGGACAATGTGCACACGTGAAATCTGCGTGTTCGAGTTTGGATAGATGTAGAACTGTAGAATGATGATGAATGATGTAGATGATGTAGATGTGTTCAGATTTTTGTCACGTGAAATTGGTGGAAATTGGATTTGTGCACTATCTACGCCGGGGTTGCCCAGCCGGGCCCAGCCTGGGCACTGTGGGAACATGGCCATGGCTCCACGACACAGAAATGCGAGTGCCACCTTTGTGTCATTCGCCCTTCGCCATGCCATTTCTGTCATAAAGGGTGCGTGCGTACCGGGGAGATGGAGTGGGACGTAGTAATGTCGTCGTCATGTAATCATGGATTGTGACCTGGCAAGATGGAATTTATGTGGAATTTATGTGGAATTTATGTGGAATTTATGTGGAATTTATGTGGAATTTATGTGGAATTTATGTGGAATTTATGTGGAATTTATGTGGAATTTATGTGGAATTTATGTGGAATTTATGTGGAATTTATGTGGAATTTATGGAAGATTACGATGTGATTCACGTGATGCAAGATGTCTCCAGATGTCTCCAGGTCATGTGCCGATTGGAGTCACCAGCGACACGTCAAAAAAATGTGCCGCTGTGCCGCATGGCTCCAGATGATTTTTCCACCTACGCGGCGTTGCGCGGCGGTTGCCGTTTGAAGGGATGGCAGGCGTAACACGGTTAACTCCGCAGATTTCAAACGTGTGCCCATTGTGCACCCGTTGCATAACTTGACCCGACCTCTCAATATTTCTCAACGTCTCTCAGTGCTCAACTGTATTGAAGTTGTTTAAGCATTGTTTAAGCATCTTTAACCCATATGTTTCAGCGACTTCAAGGACATAATAATGACATAATGCAAGGACAAAGGTTCTGACATCAGCTATGACCCGAGTTTTGTGTACTGCATTGCTTTTTCACCAGGTCGCCAGGAGGCGGGGAGACCATGGAAGACCATGGAAGACCACGAGACTCCGACTCGGATTTTTCCATGACGCAAAGCGTAACCTTTGGAATGGAAACAATGAGATGACGGTGTCTCAACGGGTGTCTTAATGATGATTCTAGATTCTTATCATTTTTTCATGTCTTATGATGTGTCATGATGCTTCATGATGTCATTTGATGTCTTTTGATGTTTTATGTTGTTTGAGCTTACGAAAGCCACCCGGCAGGCTAGGCTGAAGTGAAAATTGTGAACATAGCACGTTTTGAGGGTCCTGTACGGTGCGGCAAAAAAATGACGGTGGGGTATCGATTCCCCCCTGGTGTGGCCCTCAGGGTCGTAAACAAGGCTTCCTTTTGCGCGTCCTTTCAGTTTGCCGACGGTCCATGTTAACCTTTACCATACCTTTACCTCAGCTAGCCGTGAAAGGAGTTTGGTTACAAGGAAATGAACAAACCTATTAATTAACAACTTTGCACAAGAGCGGAGATGAGAACCCAGGTATATTCAATATACTTGCCTCCTGAACCCTGTAGACGCCAATTTACCTCTTCCTTACCTGCCTTTCTTCCCCCCCTGGTCCGGCTCTTGGGGTCGCAAACGAGGCTTCTTTTGTTTCAGGGTGCCGATCCATGTTAACCTTTACCTCAGCTGGCCGTGAGAGGAGTTTCGGTACAAGGTGGACTAACCAACCATTTTGCACATCGGAGATCAGAGCCTTCTGACGCCATTTCGACACAAACAAACGGAGATGAAAGCCCAGGTATATTCAATAAGCCTGCCTGTTGAACCCGCTTAGATGTACAAAAACGGAGAGGAGAGCTTAGGTATTTTCAATATCCCTGCCTTCTGACACCATATTTATCTATATATATATAAAGCATACAAAAACGGAGATGAGAATTCGGGTACCTTCTGAGACCGTTTAGACACACAAAGAATGAGATGAGAACCTACTCCCCAATCACCTACTTTGGCTTTGTTTACATCCTTCTCAGGTCCGTTGTTGTTTCATGTTGTTTATGTCGCCTGATGTTTCATGATGCTGTTTGATGTCTTTTGACGTTTTTTGTTGTTTTTGGATTTTTTGATGTCATTTGCCGTTTTATTTGAGGCTTTGTGATATTGTTTGTTGTCTTTTGACTTTTGTGATGTTTTTTGATGCCTCATGATGTTTCATTACGGTTGATTAATGTTTATTATATCTCTTGATGTTTCATGATGTTGTTTAATGTTTGTGATGTTTCAATACGCGTGAAACATTGTCTGCCTTTCCCAGATGCATTATTTTCTTCCGAATTTTGGATTGTGTAGAGATGTCTAGAGCATTCCTAGAGCATTCCTAGAGCATTCCTAGAGCATTCGAGCTCATGCTACCTGCGCTCTACAGCTTGATGCAGCTTGGATTGTTGGCAATTCAACGGGGGACATCCTGGCACACATCCGGTCAGGTCGGAGACAGGCCTTGGACTCAAAAATCCAAAAAGCACGAGACAAAACGACACAACGCGTCGAACGTGTTGAAACATGTTGAACCATGTTGAAACAAGTGACGTCAAATGTTGACAAGAACGTCAAGAACGTCAAGAACGCCGGACAAGCGGCATTGTTAAAAAACGCATAGAATTCAGGGCATTCTCCAAATTATGCCAGGTGAATGTGATTGTTTCATGGCAAGTATCGTGGGTTACCATGACATATCGATACTCGTTAATACATATCGTGATTGTTGCAAGATGTTGCAAGATGTTGCAAGGTCGAGTGCCAGCCCCCCTGGCATTCCCACCTCGAGGCGCAGGGCATTTCGAGAAAACTGTCACTCTGTGCTCAAACGACAAGACAATAGAAACCAGAATGAAACCGGAAAATATCAGCGATAGGAAAATCTATTAGTGGAAACGACAGAAAACTCACAGGATGAATTG